AGCTACTGGGCCACACACGACAACAAAAGCCAAACATGTGTACACACACACACACCAAATTCTAAGAAACAGATAGACAATACAGCTGAAACCAAAATGGACCTCTTGAAACACAATTAGTTACTGCTGCCATGCATCAAAATGACTCTATATGCAAGTTAAGTGTGATTAGAGTGGGACTAAGCCTCTACATCAACAAAGCCTACTTCTAATTTTTAGTCAGATACTGTATGTTTAACACGTTTATGTTGATGTATTTGTAGCAAAAATTCAGATTGATGAATTGTTGCACTTCTGCATCAGGTACCACAGAAGACTTGGGTAGTTCTGCATATTTGTGGGATTTGTACAGTGATCAAGGAAAAGACAAATGAAGCATTGTTGGGGGAAAAAGTGTGGAAGCTGTACCTCATGCCTGACGGAGATAGAAAAAAATGATTGGTGGGAGCTATGTTTGATTTAGTAACTTCTCATTGTACCTTCAGTCACAAGAAAGTAAAATGCAGTTTAAGTTAACCATGCACAGTATGCAGTGCAGTTTGTTATTATTAAAGCTGCAGGCATGATTTGTTTCCCTGAAGCACATAAATAATTGCTTACTATTAACACTTGTCTTTATGTAGTTAACAGTAAGCAAGGGTTTGGGCTTATGTAGGGCTTAAAGTAAAGGAGCTCAGGTAGAAATCACAGTAACTCTGCTTTTGTTGCATGTACATGGAGCTGTTGAACCATTTTCCCAAAGGTGCTGGATGTGGATACAGTGAGATGAGCTGATGAAACTGATCTAAAGGGTTTTAGATCAGTTTTAGGGGAGCAGGCAAATTTTAATTGTCTCGTGAGTTTTTAATGGAACGTGTCATGTGTCTAGTGTGTCTGCCTCAGATTCCATGATGATTTAATTAAGAACATCCAGAAATAACCAATACATGCAATGCACAGGAGAGACTGCAAGTCTGCCTCGTGATGCTTATGCTAAATCTTGTCAAGATAACCAGTGAAAGTGGGGCACACGGTCCAGCTTGACAATGTGTATCAGTCAAATTAGAGATGGATCACAGATGGTTGTGAACACGTCAAGGGAAAGAGAAGCAGTATATGCAAGCTGGTACGGAGGACAGATGCTGCTTAAGATCAGAAATGAATATTTATTTTGCCTTGCAAGCATGATTTATATAATGGTGTGCAAACTGGCTAAAGAATGTATAATGGAAGAGGAGGAGACAAGTTCCCAAACATAAATAAAACAAGTCTCTGATTTTGTAGAGCTTTATTTGGGTATGTCTCCATCAATTAAAAGCACAGGAGACCAGCATTACATGCTCCTATTTTCAGTTGGTGAGCAGGGGAAGATGCAAATGGCTGTAAATCTTAAAGCCAACTTTGCAACTGGCACCAATGTGTAGGTGGTTTATGCTGAGGAAGATACAACTTTGCCCCATGTGCCTATGAAAACAGAGCTCTCCAAGGCTAATTGCTGCAATGAACATTTTTTTAAATTGGAGAAAATGCATAAATTCAACCAAACCCTCGTGTCTCAAATACATTTGCCTCACTATTCTCTTGTGAGTAAGTGGGCGGTGTTTGATATGATGTTGCTTAATGGTACCACAAAGCTTTCTCTGCTGGAGAACACATCAAGGCCCCAGAGATTTAATACTGTCAGCTCTACACCAAGTTTGACTTACCATTCAGAAATCAAAGTCTCCTTCTGTTCTCGGAAATCCCTGAAAATCTTATGAACGTCCTGCTACCTTGATGAGTGTAACGTCTCACTTTAAACAGCATGTGTTGTGCGCTACCTTGTAATTCTGTATCAACAATGACTTTATACTACCACAATTATCACAGCTGTTTAAAAAATTGCTCAATCTTATATGAAATTACATTTTGTTGTTCTTGCCTGATGTCTCTGGAAAACACTACAGATAATATAGGTGTGAATCTGACGGGTGTTCAGTGGAAATCTGGTTGATTTGGACAAGATGAGGAAACTTGAAGTAAACTTAAATGAAGCAGAGCTTAATTTTTAATTTCAAGTAATTCATTTATCTTTCCCCCCCACCAATCATTAAGCTGTATTTGTAAATATATCCTAAACTGAGAGTTTAACTTAAGAATAAACCAGCACTGTCAGGGAAAACTAATCTCTCGACAGTGATGTCACAGACTGACCACAAGTATGATGTATGATTGTATGATTACTGTGTAAAAATCTTAAAGGACACACATTATGCTAACTAGAATAATTTTGTATGATCCACAGCTCACAATAATTCCCGTTTCTCTTATACTGGGCCTTCATTCCATCCTCCATGTGAAGCAAATCATTATAGCCCCCCTGTCTTTAAGTTGGGCCCCGCTACTAGGACATAGACCCACTATATACTCAATACTACATGTATGCACTATGCATACATAGCGTGAATATGAATAAGTATCAAGTGAAACTAATAGAAGAATAGTTATGTCTAACAATCATAACTAAGAATAATTTTTGAGGGTAAAAACAAACAAGAGTCTGTTGACACTATAAAAATCATCTAATTTTTTATTCATTTTTTCGGCTCTTTAATTGGAGCATGCCAGAGAAGGTTTGGGAGCCACTGCTTAAAGCTAATTTTCACACAAGGATGGGTCGTCTGTGTTTACAATGACAGCTGTGCATATTAGTGATATCCTCTCGCTCTGACATGATACAGAGGAGGAAGCTCTCAGAAACAGAGTGTTAGGAAAGTCTGAAGCCTGAGCTTTTGGCTCATAAGGACTACTTGTACACACACTGACCTTTATTTGTTAACTTTTTAGGACCACACTTTTATTGCTTTAATTTTTTTTATGCTGCGTTTCAGACTGTCCATGTTATATATTATGAATAAGAATACTTACAGTGGTGGGGGAGCTGCATTCACTGACTGACTGGCATGTTTCTGAGGCCTCTGATGATGCTGAGCTGGATGATTTCTACACCAGGAAAGAAATAAGAGTGACACAAACCGATAAGAGTTTAGACCAAAAACCAAAACACATGTGTGAAACTTAATGTTTTTCATTAGATATCCAGTAATTAAATTCTATTCAAATATTTGTCCTTTGTTATTTTAAAGTTACACTGAAATGTTTAGTTTACCTGCTGGCTGTCCTTAAAATAGAGACCAAAAATTTTGTGTCATTGTCTTTTTCAGGCTGTGCGTGTGTCATTGGAAGCCAGCAATTTAAGCCACAGTAACTCTGAACGGGTCACATAAATAATGTAAATTTGTCCATGAGGCATTTGTACCTGACTAGTGATGTCTGAGGGCATAGGTGAGGGTGGCTTGGAGTAGATGTTGGCATCCTGGGACACGAAGCCCGAATCATGTGAGGAGACACTGCTGAGGCGGTGGGCAGCAATGCCCCCCGGTGGTGGAGGCTGGTGCGGCAGGCTGCTGCGGTAGCGACAGGAGGAGGAGGATGATGAGGTGGGCGAGTGGGGCAAGGAGCCTCCGCCACCAACACCACCACTACCACCTCCCCCTGACGAACGGGAGGCACTACTGTGGGTGCTGTTTACACTGCTGTTGGGGGAGGAAGGTGTAGAGGAGAAGGGAGGGGGCAGAGTGATGGAGGTGTGAGGAATGTGGAGGTGATGATTCCCAGCGTAGAGCGAAGGCAGTATCAGAGAGAGACAGCATGATTAGAGAAGTAATGGTGGAATTCAGAGAGAAGAAGTGGGGTTGGTTGTTGTAGAAAGTGATAGATTGACAATTAAAGGAAGTGTTGGAAGTTCGTATGATGGGTTGAAGGACCAAGAGGAGTTTACAGCAAATCGTTGGTTCATCAGGTCAGTGAAAACCCGCAGTGCGATGCGCAGTAAAGCCACACACCAGGAACAGTTAAAAGTAGAGACCCGCAACAAAATCAGGTAAGCAAAGATCCAGCAGGAGAGAAAGAGGGCAAATCACATGAATGCACACAAACAAGACACAAGTAATAGAAGATAAGTGAAAAAGAGTACACAGAATGGCAGTTGTTTTGAGTGGAAAAGTGGGAAAGAAAAGGACAGGAGGGGGTAGACAGAGGGTGTGTAAACTTAGAAGGATCCAGCACACACACATCTATACACACAGTAAACACTGAAGGCAAAATGCTGTGAATCCGCTTCACATGCACTGACACTCATACAGTTTGCTTCACAGAACCATAGAAATCAGTTTGTAGTCTTTTGAAAGTATTTAGTTTTTTTATGCATTTGGCTTATAAAAGAGAGGCTGTCATAACTTATCTTAAGGCCAAAATCCTAGATTCTTTATTATCATTTATTTATAATGCTGTTCTGTCTGAAGGCAGTGCTTCTACAAAACTGAGGATGACCCAATCATCAAAAGCTTGTTGAAGCACCAACTTCATCAGATGTATAAATGACGTCTTGATGCATTCTCAATCATCCAGGAAAGTAAATCTCCAAAAGTTGATTCTGTTCATCTGGACGAAACGTTTCGTCACTCATCCAAGTGACGTCTTCAGTCTCAGCTGACTGCAGGTTTCCCCAATCTTATAAACAGTACATTTGCATAATGACTGAAACCAGCCCACTGAAGGAACAATGGGCTGGGAGGTCAGTTCCTTAATCTTAATCATGCAAATTCTCATGACCATTGATCAACAACCACTGACTAAAACATCTGAGTGACCTCACTGGAGGATGAACATCTGACTCTCATCATCCACTGGAGCACAAACTGGGTGTCATCAGGACACTACAACACAGAGCGAACACCATCCCCACAGACACAGCAGCCAGGGAGGCAGAAGAACAGCACATCAAGAAGGCCCTGAGTAAATGTGGTTATCCCAGCTGGACTTTTGTCAAAGCTGGAAAGGCACCTAAAGAAAGCTCCAGCCGATCCAGGAGAGAAGGACAACCGCTCCATAAGCGAAAACCTGTAGTGATCCCATATGTGTCAGGAGTATCAGAACAGTTGAGACACTTTTTTTTTTTTAACACCGGATTTCTGTGGCTTTTAAACCCCAAAACACGCTGCGCCAAAAATTGGTCCACCCCAAGGATCGGGTCCCCCGAGTAACATAGTGTACGCTGTTAAGTGCCAGGAGGATTGGCAGGATTTATACATCGGGGAAACCAAACAACCTCTGGCGAAGCAGATGGCACAACACAGAAGAGCTACCTCGTCAGGCCAGGACTCTGCAGTCTGTTTACACCTACAGGCCAGTGGACACTCTTTCAATGATGAGGATGTACACATCCTGGACAGGGAAGAATGCTGGTTTGAGCGTGGAGTCAAGGAGACTATTTAAGTGAAAAGGGAAAGACCATCTATGAATCGAAGAGGGGGCCTAAGGGTACATCTTTCGCCATCTTAGAATGCTGTGATTGCAGCCATTCCCCAACTCTCTGTGAATGGTCATTGGTCTTTGATCAGTGGTTGTTGATCAATGGTCATGAGAATTTGCATGATTAAGATTAAGGAACTGACCTCCCAGCCCATTGTTCCTTCAGTGGGCTGGTTTCAGTCATTATGCAAATGTGCTGTTTATAAGCTTGGGGAAACCTGCAGTCAGCTGAGACTGAAGAAGTCACTTGGATGAGTGACGAAACGTTTCTCCCACAAAACGCTACGTCCAGATGAACAGAATCAACTTTTGGAGATGTATAAATGACCTTTCATTTCAACAGACATTTGGATTTAAACAGAAACATCCTTTTTTCTGATGCCCTTTCAACTACCTTAACAATCAACCTTTCACTCAGCATTTTCTAATTTGCTGGCTAAGTTTACTTTTTAATATTTGTTTTAATGGCCATGTTAGAGCTATATGTGGTCCAGTTTGATCTAAATTGGGTCCTATAATTATGCAGAATCACCACAGCCTGATTATGAAGGAACATTTCTGGGATTAAATGAGTGGCTCTATCACCCATAGACACTTGTTTTTCGGGGACTGCACAGAATGTAATGGCAGACTGACATGTAGACAAAACGACTGACAATCACACTGACATATAAACATCAAGGATGGCTCCTCTTTCTGATACTCAGAACACTGCCTATGTGTGTATGGATAAGAGTGTATTTGTGTGTGAGTACCTGCACATGCTGCTCTTGCGTGAGCCAGAGCTGCTTGGGGATGACGGAGGGGTCTGATAGGACCAGCTGTAATCGGACCCCTTTAGATCTTTAATCACCTGAGAGAACGTGTAGGAGTCAGAGGTTTGTCTTCTATTTGTTTCTGTCTTTGTGTATTCTGGATGTCATGTTTGCGTATGCTTTTCACCTGTTCACTGGCAGGGGGCAGTTTGTGCGGATCAGTTGTCAGCACAGTGAGGTCATCGATGATGGCCTGGAGATGGGTGATCTCGCCCAGCATAGCAATCTCTCCATTCTTAAAACAAGATAGAAAACATTTTTACTTTTTCTTTTACACTAAAGTCCAACGATTCTCAGTGTACAGTTTCCACAACAACCATAACACAGTTAATTATACTCAGAGCTCTAGTTATTTTTATGTATGATTATTTTTTGTGATATAATTAAACTGTAAATTAGGTACTGTAAGCAAAGCAGTTTAGTTTCTTGTCTTTATAAAGATAATGTGGTTGAAGTGTCAGTACGACACATAAAGTAACAACTCATTTTGTAGCTAAATACTAGGGGTGCAACGATACACAAAA